AGCATACCCGAAATGAACCCAGAAATGTGCGTAGGCCCCGGGACGCCATGAAAGGATTCTAAATTATTCGCTAATAGATGCAACTCTAGATTTCTGCTGGTTTCGCTCCAGATTAAGGCAATACTACAGGAAACAACCATCTCTCGGAGGAGAAAAAGACTCAAGGAAATGGCAAATGGCTTGGGACTGGAGGATGCATACTGTGAAAGCCTGAAAAGGATAAACGCACAAGGCGAAGAGAAGGCAAAACTTGCGATGGCTACTCTAATGTGGATATGTCATTCGGAACGGCCATTGAAGGTGGATGAGCTTCGTCATGTCCTTGCAGTAGAGATAGGATCAACGGATTTCGATCCGGAAAACATTCCCTCAAAAGACACATTGGTGGCCTGCTGTCAAGGCTTGATCGCGGTAGACCGGAAAGCAGATACCGTGCGCTTGGTCCACTCCACTCTCCGAGAGTATCTCTCGGATCATCCGGACCTGTTTCCTAAACCTCACTCGACAATGTCAGAAGCCTGTTTGACCTATCTAAGCTCACGCCAGGTCAAGGGGCTTTCGCCAAAGTCCATCTCTAACCCCCAGAGCACACCTTTTCTCCAATATTCCTCGAGATATTGGGGAACTCATGCGAAAAAGGAACTCTCGAACAACGGGAAGCGTCTCGCGCTGGAGCTTCTACGCCAGTACGAAAATCATATAACCGCCGAATCACTTTTCCAGCAGGTGGAGCATCAAAGCCACTCCAGTGATATCGTCACCCCATCGCTATTCACCGCACTACATTGCGCATGCTTCTTCGGGATCGATGAGGTTGTGAAGGCTTTGATTGAGAGGAAGGGTTATGATATCAACCAAACAGATCGCGTGGGAGCTACACCACTCACATGGGCCGCTCGTAATGGGCATGAAGGGGTTGTGAAGCTGCTGCTCAGACAAAAAGATGTCATTCCCGACAAGGCAGACAATAGAGGTACAACACCTTTCTCCTATGCGGCCGGGCAGGGACACGACGGGGTAGTGAGGCTGCTACTGAGACGGGAAGATGTCGTCCCCGACACGCCAGACAATAAAGGCAGAACACCTTTCTCACATGCAGCTGGGTGGGGAAATGAAGGGGTGGCAAAGCTGCTACTAAAACGGAAAGATATCGCCCCAGACACGCCAGACAACAATGGCACAACACCTTTCTCCTTTGCTGCTGGGCGGGGACACGAAGAGGTGGTGAAACTACTACTAAGACGGAAGGATATCACCCCCGACAGGCGGGATAATAAAGGCAGAACACCTTTCTCCTATGCCGCTAGTTGGGGACACGAAAGGGTGGTGAAACTACTACTAAAACGGAAGGACATCACCCCTGACAGGGCAGACGACGAAGACGGAACACCCCTCTCCTATGCTGCCGGCCGGGGGCATGAAGAGGTGGTGAAACTACTGCTAGGGCGGGAAGATGTCCACCCTGAGAGGCGAGACAATAAAGGCAGAACACCTTTATTCTATGCTGCTAGTTGGGGGCACGAAGGGGTAGTGGAGCTACTACTAGGGCAGAGAGATGTCATCCCCGACGGGCCAGATAACGAAGGCCGAACACCACTTTTCTGTGCTGCTTGCAATGGACGCGAAGGGGTTGTGAAACTACTACTGAGGCAGAAAGACGTCACCCCCGACAGGCCAGACAATAAGGGCACAACACCCCTCTCCTTCGCCGCTGGGCTGGGGCATGAAGGGGTACTGGAGCTGCTGCTAGAACGGGAAGATGTTCACCCGGACACTCCAGATGACACAGGCACGACACCTTTATCCCATGCCGCTAGTCGGGGACACGAAAGGGTGGTGAAACTACTACTGAGGCGGAAGGACATCACCCCCGACAGTCCAGACGACGAAGACAGAACACCCCTCTCCTATGCCGCTAATTGGGGACACGAAGGGGTAGTGGAGCTACTACTTGAACGAGAAGATGTTCACCCGGACACTCCAGATGACACAGGCACGACACCTTTATCCCATGCCGCTAGTCGGGGACACGAAAGGGTGGTGAAACTACTACTGAGGCGGAAGGACATCACCCCCGACAGCCCAGACGACAAAGACAGAACACCCCTCTCCTATGCTTCCGGGCGGGGACATGAAGAGGTGGTGAAACTACTGCTAGGGAGGGAAGATGTCCACCCTGACAGGCGAGACAATAAAGGCAGAACACCTTTCTCCTATGCCGCTAATTGGGGGCACGAAGGGGTAGTGGAGCTACTACTTGAACGAGAAGATGTTCACCCGGATACGCCAGACGATAGAGGCACGACACCATTCTCCTATGCTGCTAGGCGGGGACATGAAGGGGTGGTGAAACTGCTGCTAGGACGGGAAGATATCCGCCCCGACAGGCCGGACAAGATAGGCAGAACACCTTTCTCCCATGCTGCTGCTTGGGGACGCGAAGGGGTGGTGAAGCTGCTGCTAAAATCGCAATATGTCATCCCAGGAATGCCGGACAACAAAGGCAGAACGCCACTCTCCTATGCTGTTACGAACGAGCGTTCAGGAATAGTACAGCTACTACAGACCCAGAACCCTACAACCGCCAGAACAGCTTTACTTCCCGCTTCCCTTCCGTACCACTAAACCCCTCTTGAAACTAGGATATATGCTATATTAGCAACGACCCCATCACAGTCGCACCCACTCAGACGGCCAACGCCCTTCCTCCGAGTCTTCGTGACCCACTTCAAACCCAAGACACCTCCCTAGAGACATCACTCTCTTTCCTCCCCTTACTCCCCCTTCCTTCCAATTTTTTTTCTCCTCCTTTCCTCAAAGTTGAGCTTAGAATTCATCCGGCGCTTTAAACAGTTGAAGGAACTCCCCCTGCACGCCGACACACGTCCCCCACCTCCAGACCTCTCCAAGTCCTCGCCTGTACGGTAGTGATTATTGGCAAACTTCCTTTCTCAACGAGCTTAGAATCGAAGACAGTGCCGGGGGTTCTCTACAGCAATTTGAATCTCCTGTTCGGTCCAGCCTTATTTTTTTTCACTTATCCTATTTCTATTCCTCCAGTCCAGCAGACACATTTCTTTCCTTTCAGATAACTTACTCTTTATTCGTGTATTCTATTTCTTTCCTTTCACTTTGAATAAGTTAATTCGGTCTGTTCTTATCACTGTGTTCGTTCATCTGCTTTTGTTGGGGGGGTTACAATTCTACAATATTTGACCAGAACCAAAATTATCCTCTTCTAATTCAATACCTATACCATATATCTTTCTCCGGTCCTCTATCTAGCGTTCGTCAATCCCTGAGTGGTGGGTGCTTACCGCAATGAGGCGGATGGGGGTGCAAGATCTTTTGTGCTGCACTTCCTTTAACGTAAACAAACTAGCTACAACTACCTCGACAGGTTCTCAATGTACTACTACAGTGCCTTGCTCGTACGGGAAAAAGTAAAGACAATTTCACACCGCACCATACTCGCGGAATTACAGTTGGGGGGGGGGGGGGTTCCCGGGCGCTTCTCCAGTCCAAGCCCCCCCTTTCTAGTAAAGAAATAACCCTGTATCCCTGAACACAGCAATAATATTACAAGGAGGACTGAGCGGTCCAAACAAAACAACAAGGCAAGAGCGTAAACACCACGATATACCTAAACACAGTAGAGATGCAATGATGGAAACCGTAAGACACACAAGTTACTCAGAGCCACAACATATCCCCCACACCCACACGGCGGATTGGAGCGCAGACGGGAACAAATCCGGACCGAAAGTTTATCAGTGAAAAAGTGACAAGCAAGACCAGCCGAGTGATGATCGGTGAGGATGGTCCCCTCGGTGCGCCTTCAAGGAATCGGCGCTAAAGAACCCGGTTCGGAACTCCTCGTGTATCACAATTTATTCCCAGTTGGAGGAGGACACTTTCCAGATCTTGTTACCTTCCTTGACCAGATCTCTTGGGTACAAGCACCCGACAAAATGGGGGGGGGGGTATCTTAAGTTATCATAATGATTAAAAAAAATATTGAGAAACGGGGAATGTAAATAAATGGAACAATGTAGCACGACGGTGTATCTCCAGACCTTGGAAAGTTCTCCATGAGCCGGTAGCTTTTTGTCTTCAACTTGTCTTTTTTTTCTTTTTTTCTTTTCTTTTCCGCAAACGATGCGTTCCAATACCGTATTCGCGGACACCCTGCTGCAATAGAAGATCACGAGGAGGTATGATAGCACCCGCATCCGTCCAGTGCCCGTGATACCGTAACCTGACTGGGTGGTCATCGGGGACCTTTCCCGAGCACCCCCACTTTCTTTCCAATACCAGAAGTAGCGAAGCTATTGTTGTTGCTATATCATACCGTAGTTCTATACGCTGGTCCGTAGCGAGTGATCTTTTGTGATGATTATTCGTTTGAAAGTATATCATAATATTATTATCATACCTGCATAGACCACCACACAAGTACTATAACTTCAAAAGGGGAAAAACTGACCAAACTAATAACAATACCCGTCTGTTAGTCAAATCCGATTAGAGCATAGACTAAACTATCATACCACCGCAGAAGAAATAATACCCATCGAAAAAGAAAAAGAAAAAAATCCTAAATAAAACTTTGGAAAAGGAGGAACGAATATACAGTTGATTATATAATTTTCTAGTTTTTTTTTTTTTTTTTATCATAAAAAAAAAGCTTTTCTGTATTGGTCTACTCTTGCTTGACTTATCATGACAGTGGCACGTTTTTTGTTCCCCCCCAAACAAAAATCGCGAAAAAATGACCAAAAACGCCATCCTCCCTCGGTTGATCCTAATAAGTTATTGGGGAGGTTTTTGGAAAGAAAAAAAGAAAGAAAACAGCAGGCTTCGAATTATTCTCATGATCTCATCTCCCATGATTTTTCTTTCCCAACCGCTTTTACGTTTGAGGGGTAAAAGTGGTGGGCGAAAGTGTGTACGAGTAGGCTAAATAACATTTCTGTTGTTCGTTGCGATGCGAAACCTTGTGGATGGTTTTCCCAACGAGGATAAATTTAGTTTCCCTCCCATTTAGACTAGTTAAACTCCATTAAATCTAATTGACTAACAGGCATCATCAAGAACGGGCAGTGAGCATCACACCCATGCTATCGAATTTGCGGGTATTATTAAAGAAAAAGCCCTACGCCTCAACACCTCCCACTACACTTCCCCACCCAATCTACTCGTGCGAAAGATCAGGTTCCTCCCTCTCCGTGCACTCCCCATCCCCAAAGACCTTCACAAAGACCGTATCATAGCACCACCAAACCGCGCCCAAAACCCCCCTCCCGAAGGCACGAACCCAGCCGGGCGCCCTCCCGCCCCTCGCAAAGAGGTGATTCAGCAGCAAAACCAGGACAAATAAAGGCCCCCAAACTACCAAGACAAAAATCCTGCCCACGGACTGGCGGAACCTGGTGATGCTGTAGGCCCTCAACCCATCCAAGTACCCAACGTACGAAGGGGGCAAGCCCCGCTCGCGTGCTCCCGCGCGGAGCAGCTGCAAGTACCGATTCGTCGGCTGGCCTCCTGCACGGGTCGGTTTTCCGGCGCTCGTTGTATCCTCCTCCGGACAGAGCAGTGTCCGGGCGGTTATTATCTCGTTGCCGGTAGCGAGGGGGTAGCAGGCGACCGTGAACTCCTGATAACCGGCGCCAGCGCCCTCGGTTGCCAGGAGACGGGCGTAGTCTGCCCGTGTGATTTCGTATACCACCCCCACTAACTCCCTTTCCTCCTGCTCTGCCGGGGGTGGGAGGCGCGGGCGGACGTTCGCGAAGCAGGGCTCGACATATGGTATGCCCGCAAGTGTGAATGTTAAGGTTAGGCTGGGCACCCGTACGGGGGTTATATGCAGTGGGTGGATTCGCCGGGAGCCGGTCAGTGTCGCGGAGTTCAGGTTCGAGCCGTAGGCGAGGTAGTTTATTGTTTCCGGTGAGGTGGAGGAGGAGGGGCTGGTACCAAGGGCGAGGAGGGGGGTCTTTTCGCTCATGCTGGGTGGTAGTACTTTTATCAATGGTAATGGGGGGGGCTCAGGCGTTTTGAACGAGGATATATTCCCACTCAAGTACTCCAGTCTACTTATACTTTAGTTCGCTCACGGGAGGATAATGTACCGGGTCGGAAGGAAGAACGGCTCTAGGGTCGGCCCGCTCGGCCGAGAACCAGGGGCTTCGGACCATGAGATATCCCATATCCGTTACTCAAGTAGGTTCTGGTGCTCACTAAGCACAATGCGTCATTCCAGGGGGATTGTGAGCGCGAACTATGATACGCTAGCATGGGATCGTGATAAGAATATGATTACTCGAGTACGAGTATAGGCTTTTGCATTGCCATGCAACCAATCAACCAATTTAGCCCCAGGTCCCCCAATAAAAAAAAAAAATGCAACCCTTCCACTATCATGCATGTATGACTCTTAGAGGATGAGCAGGCAAACAAATCACAGCGAATTTGTCAATTGGCTGTTGGACTGGTCGAGAGGCGCTGGCGGTTTAAAACCTCGATTCCTCCGCTCAAAATCCGTTTTGGGGATGCTTACACAACCCATCCTTCAAAAATTTCATGCGCGCTATGCTACGGAACGGGCTGATGTAGAGCCGATAGAAACGCGATGCAATACCGATACAGGAAACTCAAGCAACCCAACAATCCCTTCCATCTATCACATATTATCGTCTTAGCGTACCGGAAATGAAAAAGAAAGAAGCAAAAAAAAAAGGAAGAAAAAAGCAAAAAAGAAACGGAGCACCGGGTATCATATAATAGTCGCTAATCAGTTTCTATAAGTTGGGGTAAAGATTCAACCTGTGCATCATATCCCGAGTCAGTAATTAGCCAGCAACTAAAGGAAAAAGTAGGAAAGAGATGAATGACTAACATTGGTCTCCCCATTGAGGATTCTATAAACGGCTGTGAAGAGCGGGAATTCATCCTCGAGTCCCTTATTCTTCAAATAGACGTTGACCTCCCTGGCCGTGATGGTGCCCTGCAACTTTTGGCCGTTCAACTCCTCGCCCTCGACCGTCTCGATGCTCTTCCCGGTGCGCACGCTGAGCATGGCACACTTGTGATTACGTCCTCCATTGCACGAAGTGATCAGGTCCGCGACACCGCACGACTCCTCCGTGAAGGTGGCGCTCTTGCATGATTGGCTAAAGAACATCTTGCCAAACTTGCGCATCTCGAGGAGCCCCACACGCATCACAGCAGCTTTAGCGTTATCGCCCCACTCCAAGCCATCGACAAAGCCAGCCGCCAGCGCAACAATGTTTTTCAAAGCTCCCCCCAAGGAGACACCGGCGACGTCACTCACGACACGAACGTGAAAGTACTGCCTGTGGAACAGAGTTTTGAGAAGCACGTGATCGACGGCGGGAAGCTCCTCGGGGACCGGCGTCAGGCCCTCCGGAAAGTGCTCGGTGGGACCCTCTGGCGGAGCGTACGCGATAGTGGTCTCGGAGAATTTCTCTGCCGCCACTTCGGAAGCGATGTTCGCGCCGCTCAAGGCTCCGCAGTAGATTCCTAGCTTCCGGCCGATGGTATCCGAGAACAAGCTAATCCCATCCGGTGAAACATCCACGCCCTTGATGCAGGAAACGGCCCGAGCATACGGCAGGCAGGATCCGTTGATCTGCCGGCAAATGCTGGAAACGAACTGGTGCGGCACATTGAAAATCAGGATCGAAGCCTCGGACACGGCATCGGGAAGCGACGGCGTGGCGAATAGGTTCGTCGGAAGGGCAATCCCGGGGAGGTACTTTGGATTCTCGTGGATACCGTTGATGATGCTCGTCAGGCTCTGAGAACCAGAGTGCTTGCTCTTGTCATAACGAGGGTGCGAGGAGGAGAGCTGATATTGTTCCTCGAACACCCACCTGTCATCATCGCCATCACCACCAGTCAGTCAATCAGTCAGACCCGGGGAAAGAAACAGGAGAAAAGAAAAAGGGACTCCCAGGACAACAGACATCTTGACCTCCTCGTGAAAAACATCCGGATTAGCCTTCGTATTCTCCGCTACAATCTTTGCAATTGCGCTCCCCCTATCCACACCCTAATTAACTCACTGGAAGCAAAGAGGAAAGGAGGAAGGCAAAGAAGAAGGGAAAAATAAATAATCTCCCACCAATTCCCTGACCCAATAACGGTAACACGATGCTTCATACTTCCAACCCGAGTTTTAGTTCCCATTGTCCTGGTCAAAAGCTTCAGTCTTCGAACGGCTGTTGCAGAAGTCATAATATATAGCGGGAGCAGGACAAGAATTTAAAGGCACGCAAGCAGTAACTTTTGTTGGGATGCAGATATGCGGACTAGCCAACAAAGCCTTCTTTTCGTCCTCTTCCTTTTCACTCTGCGGAGGCTTGCTCACCTTGCTTAAGTATAGTACCGTATACTTCTGCCAAGGAGGAGGAAAAAAAAAACTCTGCCCTTGTTCTCACCTTTTGCTTTTGCTCGATGAACAGATATTATAGAACACGTGTGAAAAGGCTCTCCCCTTTTTTTTTTTTCTTTCCTCTTTTCCCTCCCTTTCTCTCTTTCTCTCTGTCTCTCTGTCTTGTGCACCGGACTATCCGAGGGATTAATGGTGGATGGGAGGGGTAAGATAGGAATCCGCCTGCCAAAGTTCTAGACGCAAAAGGTATAGTTGCCAC